GAAGCCCAGTTTGAAGGATACCACAAAGATTGTTTCTGACTTTAAATTATGCTAACCAAAAAGTATGACTTGTCTAGCAATCTGGAGACTGCCTACAATGTTAATAACATGTTTAATGGAAACATACAAAAAAAATGGGTGGAGAATGGTGGGCCATAGGACTTGATATACTTCCATACTTCTTGAAATGCAAGGCACTCTTTTGGCTGGAATGGTACTAAATGGTCCATTTTTTATGTAGAAATCTTTTTAGCTCTACAGAGATTTTATAGGCACCTGTACGTTACACCAACTAATTAGAGCACTTAGATGTTACAGCTATATGCAATTTATAAATAATTAGTTTGTAAAGTGCTTTGAAAATGAAAGTGCTATGTAAGTACTCAAATTATCATATACTAAAAGCCCTTGGTATATATAATCATTTTATCTAATAACTGGCTCTTTAAAAGGCCTAGTACTTTATAGCTAAACAGAATTTCTGATCTTGAGTCATTAATATTAGTTCATTTAGAGTGAAAAGCTATCAGGGAGTAAAAACAGAGATACCAATCAAGTTATTTTTCCACTTTGTCTTTCATGTTCATCTCCCCCACCCTTTCGTAGACCAATTCAGTCTTCCCTTAGGTTCCTAGAGATCTATGCAGATTCCTTCCACTTAATAGACTCTTGGTTATCCTGCCCACCCTGCCCTGTTTTCCCCTTTCTCCCATGTGTCTTCTGAAGGTGTTTTGTATGGACCTGTGAGTGTAGGGCCACCCTAAACAGATTCAAGACAGTGAGACGCATGATCGGTGATGCCAAATCCTGTTAGTAGCAATGAAGCCGTGAGGATATGGCAGGGGGTCATATTACGAACATGTACTGTGATTACCTCAGTCCACTACCATCATTCTACACCTTTATGGCCACTAATTAAACCTGGCTTTCATCTCGACAGGTCTGGTTCAGAGGTACTAAACTTCATTAAAATAAACCTGTTAACTATCCCACAGGACTACTCACAGGCAACATTTAAAACAGCAGCAGAGTTTTTGACCCTTACCCACTTAGCCCTTCAGGACTCCTTTGCCATCATCAAGTGCCGTTTTCCGTATGGCATTAGTTTTCCAGAACCTGTAACTAGCAACCAACGGTGTCCCTACACTGGCCCGTGACTGTTGTCTTTCCTCTTCCCTGCTGCCATGTAAACTGAGCGGCCCAAAGGCCTACAGAAATATTTTACTGGAAAACCCAAACCAAGCCATTCTTCTGTACAAAGAACATTAATGTTTAGCCTTCTTTAGCCACTAAACTAATATGCCCACTGCCCAGCGACATCGTTAACAAGTGACATTTTTCTGTTCTCGTGTGACTTATTCAACACGCTCTCTTTGAAAGCCTTGGCTTCCTTGACTTCATTTTCTAGACTTTCTTACCAAGTCACTGGTTGTTCCTTTTCGCCTAACCTTTAAATACTGAGTTTGCTCAAGGCTTGGTCTTGAGCCTACTTTTTTTTCACTCTCCAGTTTTTACGGATTATATCATATTTATAGCCAGAACTTGCAGAGTTTATCTCCAGCTTAGAAAGAGTTCCTAGTCTTCAACTCACTCATGTACCACCATGTTCAAAACAGAATTTTTGATTTCAGTCACCTTCTCCACCTGCTGGCCTATTTTTTTTCTTAAGCTTCCCATTTCAGGATTTCGACCCCAAACCTAGGTTGGAGTCATCTTTCTGTTTCCTCACCTTCCACATGTACTTCCTGAGGTCTACCAATACAGTTCTAAAATGTATCTCTAATTCACCCTCTTTTCTCCATCTCTAGCTTATTGGCCTTCCAGGCCAGTTCAGTTTCTTTGCTTCTACTCTGGCCTGTGTACAATTCATTGCCCCACACCACCACCAAAATATTCAGATGTCATCCCCAGTGTATTTAATATCCACACTATCCACCACCCCAGTTTTTCTTCCCATCAAATCCACATGGGATAGAGCCTTCTCCTCTTTACCATGCAAGATATGCAAATCTCTCATACCTTTATTTCCTCAAATCACCAGTTTTCTGCTTCAAGACTTCTGAACATTCTACTTCCCCAGAATACTTCTTCTTTTTGCAGTTAGGTCTTTCTTCTCCTGTAATCTCTGGAAGATGATCCCTACCTTCCATACCTAAAGCAGATTCCCCTCTTGTGTTTTCTATCTTGACCCTACATTTGTTTTTCAAATTGCAACTTAAATATTCTTTCCCACTCCTTCTATGTGTGCTCCATAGCAACAAGACCCATGTCTCATCCACTAGCATATCTACCCCAGGAGCTGGTATTAGGTGCTCCATAAATAAAGAAGTATATTTATTTAAAGAAGCTGAGTGTAGTAAATGTAGGCTCTATAGTAGCCTAGTAAGGCTACTAGTAAGGCAAGAGGTGTGATTTGAGTGAATAAATGGTTCCATGTCATAACTACCCACATGGATTCATCTAGTATTCACTACCTATTAAGCACTGTGCTGCAGGGTAGTATAGTGGGTAAATAACATAGGAACTAACAATAGCACAGTAAATTCAAGACCAGGAAACACAAAAGTAAAATGAAAGCACTGCAAGTACCCAAGCTAGGGTGGGGAGTCTGACACATTAGCTATCTAGAGAGAGTATGGTGGAAGTGGGTTCCAGAAGAGGAAACAGCATAAACAAAGGCTCCAAAGCACAGAGCGCGCGCGCACAATGCTCAGGTTCAAAGGCTGACAGATATTTACGGTGAATTAAGTCATGGTGGGGCAGTACAGGTAAGAGAGACATGGTTGAAGAGGTGAATAGGACAGTTCCTAGATATGACTCACTCATATTTTAAGTTAAAAAAAAACCCTCAATTACCTCAATGGAATTCTCCTTTCTCCCAAATAATGCTTCTTTTATGAAACCTTAAGCTACACTTACTTACCTAAGGAACAGAAATGTTACCTGGTCAGCCTGGATTTCTCCTTCTACAATATAATTAAACTGTCCTGACCTACTTAGGTCATTTCTGACCAACAGTGTCCTGAAACTAAAGCAGTTAACTGGTATCTATCCTATAAATGCTACCACAATGATGGAACCTGACACAACCTAAAATTCTCCTGTGAAATCAGAATACTCAGAATGCTTTCAAATTATTCCCCATGCTGGCCCAACCAACCAAACACCAAAGGTTGCAATTCTTTCATGAATTACTAAAAAATATCTAGCAAGAAGCCAAGTTATCCCTCTACTCTCACTTTTTTTCCTTTTTTAAAAAATCAACCAGTCTATCTGGGGTGATGCTTGATTGCATCTCTTCCTCCTCCCCAATCACAGCCATGAATGCATAGTCCCTTTAAATCCCTTGATCAAAGACCTTGTCTAGACTCCTGATTTTCTCATAGTTTCCTCATTTTCAATGTTGGCTTAACTAAAAGAAAAATAAAACCTAGAACACTCAACCTTGAGTTTCAAGGAACAGAAACCACTCGAATTAGTTTAAATGAAAGAGGGAATTTATTAGAAGAATACAAAGGTTTCTTGCAGGGGTTCCAACAGCCGTATTGGATTAAAAGCTAGAAGCACACCTTTCTGAAGGACAGATCATGTTGTGATCACAAGCTTCTACTTCTGGGTTTTGCAAGATCACGAAGAGAATATTCTACAGGAGAGTCCTTCCTGTATAGTGCATAAGGGACTAGAATGTGGATTCATTTCTGCTTGCTTTCTGATCCTTATAGTCCTTTATGCTGGCCTCAAATTTGTCAAGCACATGTTGGCAGACATTCATGAGCTCATTCAGGCCTCTCTGAAATGGCTCAACAGCTGGAAGAGCACCTCGGGTCTGAATGCGTAAATTAATTTTGCTCTCTGAAGGATGGGTTGTAGTGTAACCACAAAATTCCACTTCCGGGTTCTTCATGATCATGTAACGAAGGGTATTTCCTAGGGTATGGTCCTCTTCATGCAATACAAATGTCACACAGTGTCTATCTGTTCCAGCTGCCTGGACCATTTCCAGGGCTGTCTTCCTCTTGCCTTCAGCCATTGAGGTCTTCAATCCAGATATTTTTCTACACACATATTTTTTATAAAAATAAGATCATACTGAATATGGTTTTGTAGCTAGCTTTTTTTTCACTTACTGTATCACAACGCAACACATCATTACTCTTAATGCACTCCAGTTATACAGAACTATTAGCATTAGCCCCTTACTTTCCTGCTTCCACATATTCTACGGATAAAAATTTAACTGCCTGTAATTTCTCCCTACTCCATTTGACTGTCCACATAGGGGAGTCCACAAGGGGGGGTTTCCTTAAAACGCATTTGAATGTTTACTAAAATACTCTTTTGGTATAGTCACAAGAAAGGAATAGGGTTAGAACAGGATGGGCCCTGCTAGAGGATGAAAATGAGTTTAAAATAGCAGAAAACCACTGATTATCAACATACAGGCCCAACTATGGTTTCATTTGCAGGAGGTAAGAAAACTAGAATGCAAAGCCTGAGAAGAGTCAATCAAGCAGGAGGCAGAAAAAGAAAGCGCACAGTGGCATAAAATGACAGTCTGCAGAGCGGAGGCACTACAAGGACTAAGGCCTGAATGACCACACCAGTGCAGTGCCATCATTCCGGCAACTGTGGCCTGGTACGTGAGTTTATACGTTAGCTTTACTTACTCTTGCTGCTCTACTTGGGGGAGGGCGGTTTGGTTTGGTACTTAACTCTGGTTCCACAACTTGTCTTCCTTGATATCTAGCACTGAGCGTCCCTATTCAAACACATCCACGTCTCCCCCCCTCCCCTCTTCCCAGTCGGGGCCCTCTCTGTCCCCCACCCAAGGCGCCCACTTCCCTCTCTTCCCTGGTCCTTCCAGCCAGGCCTCGCCGCCAGGCCGGGCCGCGGAGGCTAAGGCCCCAACCGGCCGTGGACCCCTCCGCCACCGGCTCCCTCGTAGGGCGCGGTCGGCTCCCCTCCGCCCGCCCCTTCGCCAGCCGCTGCCCGGCCGTTACCTCTCCAGCTCCTGGTCCTCTTCCATGGCGTAGCGGTTTTTGGGATCCTCAGGTGGTGCTGGCCGACCGGAGGCTCTGCCCCATACCTCGTAACGTGCGGCGAAGCAGGAAGGAAGGAACAACAGTCGGAAGGAGCGGAGGACGGAAGGACGGAGGCGGAGCCGCAGCGGCGCGGCGAGGCCCAGCCACTGGGCGGGGCGTGCAGGCTCCGTCCCCGAGGCCCCGCCCCCGGCGCGAGGAGGGCGGAGACACGGCCCACGCGGCGCACCTGGCACTCGGGATGGTAGCCCGCCCGCGGAGCTATCGGGATTTAGGTGGGGTCCGGCCTCTGCCCCACCGCGATGCCGAGACCTGTGCGTGGACCCCTAAGCTTAGCTCGCGCACCTTCCCTCAGGTGATGGCGAAGGGGGCGGGGCCTTACCTGACGCCTCCGTATCACCTCCCTTCTTAGGGAGGGAATCTGGCCTCGTCCTAACTCACTGCTGCACCGGTGGGGGATGGTGTTACTCTCAAGCACCCCCTAACCCTGAGTTTGGGGGCGGTGGGTATGGACGACAGGTTTAAACTAGAGTCCGCCAATACACCTTGACGAATTCCACGACAGAGTAGGATGGGTTTCCGAGGGCAGGTAACTGATTCATTCGGGATCTTGCAACTGCACATCTCCAGTGGGTCAAAGGACAAGCGTTTGTTTTTATTTCTGGGGGCAGTGAGAGTTGGGAAGAAAACTCCTCCCCACCCCGCACCCCCGGCCTCCGTTCTTCCGCTCCTGGACTCCTTTATACTCCTGGAGTAGGCAGTCCTCCCTTGCTTTGGACTTCCTCTTTTCTCTAGGCTTCTTAAACCTCCTCACCTTCGGAACCTCCCTCTCACCTTTGTTCCCAGGTGCCTCTGCTCCCGCCTGGGCAAACTTCCACCACCCAGGCTCGCTCTCTGCCCTCCTTTTGCCTTCCTACCTCTTCTCTCACCTCCCCTCAGGTGTTTTTCTTCGCTAATAACTGTGGACGAAAAGGAATCCTAGAGCAAACTCCAGAAAAGAGTTTTTATTTGAGCCAAGGTTTAGCACAGCTTCTGCGGAAACACAGCCCTTCGGTAGAAAAAGTGCTCCGCAGAGGCGAGCTTTCTTACAAGATCATATACGTTTTCTAACAAAGAATATGTCATGATGTCAAAGTTACGGTCTCAAACTACGAGTTAGCACGTACAAAAATGGTCATTACGGGGTATTTCTTTGATCATTATCTAGGCACAAGGCATTCCCCTGAAAACTATCCCGACATGAAGCAGATGTACTTTTGCCCTACAGACCATAAATTAGGCCTTTGTCTTAGATAACCCAAGCATTCAGGCCAGGCACTTCTTAGAAACGTTCATTCTTAATATTTCTTGTTGACATAACCCCTTCTCCCTTCCTCGCTCTCCTGCTCTCCTCACCCCGGTCAGCCCCAGTTCCTACCACCCTACTCTAGCTGTCCTCTCACCGCACACACCTACATTTCTGCCTTCCTGCGCCACCTGTTCTGCTTGCCTCCTCCCCGCCCCTATTCCCTTAGATGTTCACTGCCTCCGCCAGCTGTTGCACTCGCCTAGCGGCGGTCCGCGGAGAGCGCAGACACTTCTCCCGGGTATCTTCTGCTAGGAAATCTGGCAAGCAGCGTGGACTGGCGAAAGCGAGTGGGGGAGGGCAGGCGGCGAAGGGCGGAGTGGGCTCACTCTAACCCGGGAGTGACGGCCCGTTCTGGCCCGCCCCCTGATCTCTCCGATAGGTGGAGACGCCTTCTGGACCGCCCCTTTCCCTCCCTATGGCGGCTCGGATTGGTCCAGGTGTGTGTCGGGTTGGGCTGCTCTGCCCTGGCGCTCGCCCCCGGGAAGGCAGCAGGGGCGGTTGAGAAGTGAAGTCTTGGCCAGAGTTTGCTTCTTGCCAGGAAATCCGTGGCGTTGGCGGCGGCGGCGTTGGCGGCGATTCCGGGTGGAGCGGAGGCCGGCTCGCTCCCGGTTCCCGCAGCGGGCCGCGGAGAGCGGAGCTGGTGCCGGGCTGCGGCTCCAGGAGCCGGTGCGCGCCCCGGGCAGCCGCGCTTTCCCAGTGAGTAACTTTGCCCTGCCCGCCTCGCTCCGCGCTCTCGCGCCGGTCCCGGGCAGCCGCCCCAGATGCGGGCGTCGGTGGGGTGTGGGGCGCCGTCGCGCCCCGGGAGGCGGCCGGAGCGGCGCCGCAGCAGTCCTCGCGGCTCTGCTCCCTCGCCGGGGCTCCGGGAGACGTGTACCCGGGTGTGGGGCTGGCCGCGCTCGTCCGGGGAGGAAGGGATGGGCTGCCCCGCGTCGGGTGCCCGCAGCCGGGCAGGCGCCGGGGAGAGGCTGGCGGCCCCCGGCTGTCACCATTTGGTGGTTTGGGCCACCGTGTTGCTGATCTTCGCGTCGTTTGCTTTTTCAGTGGGGAAAGAGGTTGGGGATGAGTTTTTGTTGTGTCTATGTGTGGTGAATGAGAGTTGCATTAGCTGCCTTACACCGGATCTTGTTACCCTGGAAGGAATGGAGGCAGAGACCCTCCGCCCCGCCTGTTGCCTATGAATGCCCACCTTTCCCTTCAGGCTGGAGAGGGTGAGATTTGACATCTTCGAGGGGGAAATTTCAAAATTCGGATCTTGAGTTGGAAACAGTTGCACACAAAGCACCATTCGCTTTTCAAAGCTTTATGCCCTATTTCAAAAGAGAAACTTTTGACTATATGTAGTGTTTCTTTGGATATTTCAGTTTACATGGAAGGTTATGAATGAAGGTGTTCATATCTGCCAGCAGCTACAGTCCATTCGTGCCTGGATTAACTATACAGATGCTCCTTTTTAACAGATACCAGAAACGAAGTTGAGTGAAAAGCAGTGGCAGTTCAGGAGGAGGAAACAGTTGTGAGCTCCGGTTTATTGGAACAGCCTTCACTTTAAGAATTTCACATTCTCGCAGCAGTAGTACTTAAATGTAAATTGGCCTTCCTCCCAGGACAGATTTTGATTTTTTTTCCTTGCTGTACTCTGACGCAGCACTGATGAAGTAGGATCTCAGTAGAGCAATTTTGTTTACTTTGATAGATTTGATTCCTATCTCCACACCCCCTTTAGAAAATGGACTTTGATCTAGTATCCTTTTTGGCCTGCCACAGCTTTGTTGAGCCATGAATAACAAAGTTTTGCCTTTTTACCTTGTCCAGGTCCCACATGTGAGTTTTCCCATGGGGTAAAATGTGGGCCAAATCGGAACCAAAGTAGAGTAACACTACTTTTAATTTGGCCACTCGTGTTACATTAACATTCCTAATTCTGTATCGTGTACCTCTTTACTCATCAAGTTAGAAGTTTTTCATTATTCATTCAGCAAATGATAGAGTGCCTACTGCATGCCAGGCATTGATGGCAGCGGTATGTCTTGTCCTGAAGTTGCTCAGTCTTATTTGGAAGCTGATCCATACCTCTCTTCCACTAGCTACCCAAAAGTAATTTAAACAAAATGCTGTGGGAACTTAAAAGGGGGAGCATTTCTGCCTGTAGTTTGTTAGGGAAGGCCTGACATAGGCACTTCCTCTTCAGTTTGGTGTAGGATTTTGCCAGGTACATTCCAAGTCAAAGGACTAACATGGAGGGTGCTGCATTATAAGATCTGTGTGAGGTTATTCTGGCCGAAGGACACAAAGTCTAGGTTTGGAGTAGAAGCCAGGGGCTGGTATATTATTCATTTCAGAGCACTTAGCACTTTGCCTTGCTTACAGTAGGCAATCAAATATTTATTGCACTGACTTGAACAGGAACATGAAGGATTTTGTATGCCAAATTAAGAAAATTGGACTTTATCCAGTCAGTTATACAGAGCTGCTAATTTTAAGCAGGAGAATGTCATGATAACATTTGCATTCCAGAAAGATATCTGCAGCAGTCTGGAGGATGGTGAGGGTCCAGATGGGAGGTAATAAGACAGAGTAGGAGCTGTTATACTATAGGAGTTCTCTCAGGGTTTCTTGATTCATATTGTCTGAGTTTGAATCTGTCTCTTATCACTCACTACATAGCCTCTCTTTCTTAGGTTCTTCATTTCATAGGGTTTGAGGGGATAAACCTTGAAAAAAGTCTGCATATTACTTAGAATTGTGCTTGGCACATAGTGAAGATTTCGTAGGTGCTAGTTGTTATTTTTGCAAAGGCAGTGAAATAGAGATGGTGTGGCATTTACAAGGTAATATCAGTTGGACTAGGTATATGATTATATGTGATTAATGAGAGAGGATGAATCCTAGGTTTTTTGACTGGAGGCATTGAGTGTACTGATTAAGCTGCCTGTGGAGTCAGAACAGGGGTTGAATTCCATCACTTACCCTTAGAATTACTATCCTAACTGAGCTGATAGTTTCCTGATATTTAGGAAATGATCATAGTACTTGTCTAGTAGAGTTTGAGGATTAAATGAAATTATACATGTAATGCCCTTGGCAGAGTACCTAGTATATATCAAATGTTCAGTAAATATTAGTTTTTCCTTCAGTGACGATGACAGCATTAATGAGTTTGCGGAATGTTGAAAGATAAGAGAAGGAGCAGTTGAAAGGAATTGACGGTAAGAGTTGGGAAGGGAAGATAAAGAGTTTTGGACCAACCCAGTGAGGTGCCCTGTGGGTGGTTGAGATGTCTGTGATGAAGTTGTTGGGTAGATGTGTTTGACAGGAACCAGAAAAGAATGAAAAGAAAAAAGTTCACAGAAAGCCTTTGTGGGTGTTGTAAGCTTAATGGAAAATTTGTGGAAAAGGGAGTCAGAGGAGAGGTTTACATGATAGCCATGCCAGGAGTGTTGATATTGAATATTAGGCATATCTGTCGTTTGAATACATTTCGGCTACCATCCCAGGAGAACTCCAGGCTCATATAATCTCGCTGGCCCTACCTTTCTAGTCCTTTCTGATTGTTCCCTCCCAATCCAACCTTTTTAATTTTATTAGGCAGAACCATTTAATTTTTCTAAGCTTACTGGGCTAAATAAAGTTCACTCTATGCCTACGTTCCTGTGTCGAAATCCAACAAGGTTTCTAGAAGAATCAAAGGTCTCATTTCAAAGGTTCTACTCCACTGAATAA